GCCACAGGATCCGGTCATTATCACAGCCGATGGGAACAGACTGCCTACTGTCCCTCTTGAGCAAGCGCATAAACTTAACATATTAAAAAAGGAACTAGAAAGTGGTGTTTCTAAAGATGCGATTGATCATGCCAGTCACGATGGCCTCCCACCGCCTCATGCTGTCGCTGGCTTAGGGTCGGTGTCCTACGCCAATAATGAAGCAGCACAAAATTCATCCGAGGGTTCGCTGCGGAGGTCCACGCCGCCGACAAATACGCATCCGCTTTTCCCTCCCCTTCCCTTGTACGGGCCGCCGTCTCTACTTCGCGATATACAATGCTGGACCTTTCGGTTTACATCATTTTTTCTTAGCGCCGCCTTCCTAGGAGTAATTGTTCTCGGCGCCATATTTACAAACATACCTAAAGTATGTTACAAGGCCTGGAAGCGCATAACCTTCCAAGACCCTTACGCTAAAAGACCCTTTTACGAAGAGGAGGTTCGGAGACAGACTGTACGAGATAAGCAGGAAAGGGCCTGGAAGAGGCGACAATCCCAGGCACGGAGAACTTCGGATCAAGAGGACGCTCAGGGAAATGAAGGCTACATTCCGACCGAAGGTGGGCCGGATCCCGTTGTCTGCGACGTGGGATACTACGCGCGGAGGGTTGGTTTGGACATTGAGGAATTTCAAGTACAAACCGAGGATGGATTCATTATTGACCTGTGGCACGTTTACGATCCCCGCGAGTATACCAGGTTGGGGGATCAGGAACGGTCCTACCGAGGTCCAGAACTGTTCACGGGCGACAATAGAAAAGTATCAAGGGACCCAAACCAGAAGCGTAAGTTTCCTGTACTACTGATGCACGGTCTGCTTCAAAGCTCTGGCGCCTACTGCGTCAACGACGACGATTCGTTAGCATTTTACTTGTGCAAATCGGGCTATGACGTATGGCTAGGAAACAATCGATGTGGTTTCAGCCCAAAGCACACCTTACTCGACTACTCAGATCCTCGTATGTGGTGCTGGAATATTAGGCAGATGGGGGTGTTTGATCTATCTGCGTTAGTCTCACGAGTATTGTATGAGACTGGATTCGAGAAGATCGGGTTGATTTGTCACTCACAAGGCACGACAGAAACGCTCGTAGCCTTAGCGAAAGAGCAGCGTCCCGAGCTGGGAGAGAAGCTCACCGTGTTCTGCGCCCTCGCACCAGCAGCCTATGCCGGGCCGCTGATTGGCAAAATGTATTTCAAATTCATGCGCGTAATATCGCCGGGCCTCTTCCGGATTATGTTCGGTATCCACGCATTCATTCCTCTTATGATGACCATGCATTCTATCCTACCTTCTAGCATCTACGGACAGCTTGGATACACCGTATTCTCGTTCTTATTCGACTGGACGGATATTCGCTGGGATCGTGGCCTAAGGGATCGCATGTTTCAGTTTGCTCCCGTTTACGTGAGCGCCGAATCTATGCGCTGGTGGTTAGGCAGGGAATGCTTTGCCAAACATAAATGCATACTCTCTACTAAGGAAGAGTGGCGGATTGAGGAGAGCGAGGATGGGACAGATGGACCTCTCGCCGAAACAGCAAGCAAGCGCCGAAGCTCTATACTACAAACCATGAATAGAGAACAGCACAAGAAACCCAAGGGCTCCACCGCGTGGTACAACGAGAAGGTATGTCCATTTGCGCTATGGGTAGCCGGAAAAGATAATCTCGTAGACGGGAAGAAACTTCTGCGACGGTTCGAGAAAGGAAGAGAACCACACGTCAGAGTAGTTCACAGCAAACTACTACCAGACTACGAACACCTGGATGTTATTTGGGCGATGGACGCGGTGGAACAGATTTTTGGGGAGATTCGGGAAGTTCTATGGAAGACTTGCGATGTTAGAGACAAATGCAAAATACCGAAAGGCTGCGAAGACGTCGCAGCGTGGGTACGGCCAGAAAAGGCCGGGACGGATAATGAAGATGCTGAGCAGTCGAGTAGCGATTCGGCGTAATCCTCGATGGGATCATGATACCCCCTTTGATTTCTACATTTGGGCACGAATATACGACGGTACGGAGACGATTACATATTGGCTGATGCGTATGATATGCTATATATATTTATATTTAGACGTATATAAGAGGAGACAAATAGGTCACATAGAGTATATATAATATCTTGTTCTCATTTTATACTATATATGTACATTGTAATTATTGTTCTGAATATCTTCAAGTTGGCCGGTTGGTCGGCAACTCCAACTTCTCTCCATGTTCCCCACAGCGACACATTGAAGCTTGTCTCCTCTAGGATTAGTGTTCTGGTTCCTCCGCATGATCTGGGGTCCCCATGGCCAAGCCATCTGAGATAAGGGTTATTTCCATCATCTGTGTTTACAAAAAAGACCTATACGCACGTGCTAACTTGAGACTTAGTTTTACACAATTAGTCCTCGGTACCATATTCAACGTGTATCAGAGGCGAGTCAGGGCACCAGGAAACCATCTAAGATAGCTTGAAACGTAGTATTACAACGGGGACAGGAAGATCATCTCCGGTCAGGGATCGCGAACCCCGATTAATAATATCTCTAGGCCAATATTCCCACCCCAGCAGACTCCACTCAACTGACATGGGATGCGTATCGCCTCGGGGAGGGGGACGGGGTTCTGAATGGATCCCAGGGGGAACTCCACGGTTTCCCACGGTTCCTCTGTCTGACGCTACTAACAACCTCGGGAGCTTTAACCGCGGGAGCTTTACGTTCACCGATTAGCTTCGTCGATTTCCTTTACCTAAACTTAACAACTATTTTGGTTTCAAGCGGCTTGAGCTTGGATATACGTACATACTTAATTACTACCTACATACATACCAATACCAATACAAATCTAACCAGTCTTTATTTCTGCTTATCTAGGTACTCCCGGGGTTCCCGTAGTGTCGTCATCATTGTCATCATCATATCATCATGGTTGTTATCAAGTCCTTCCACCAGCCGTTACAGATCCCGGAGGTCGACCTGTGGCAGCTCGTGTTCGAGAGGAAGGATAGGGCGTTCGCGGAAGATAAGGGTAAGTAAATAAAAAAACATCCACGTTTATTATAGTTAGCTACTAGTTATCCACACTCATTATCGATTCACTTATATATATACATATGTAAGATATGTGAGAAGGAGATATATATATATATATATATCTAACACGGGCTGGTAGAAATATACATCGACCCCGACACAAGACGCTCGTATACGTGGGCGCAGGCCCGCAGCACGGCTCTCGAGTTCGGCAAGGGACTCAAGTCGCAATGGGGGTTCAAGAAGGGCGACGTGCTGGGCTTCTTCTCGCCGAATAGCATAGACTACCCGCCCGTGTTCTTCGGCGTGCACTGGGCCGGCGGCGCTTGCTCGACTGCCAATCCGACGTACACGGCGAAGGAGCTCGCGTACCAGATGAAAGACTCGCGGGTCGCGGGCATCGTGACGCAGGTTCCCATGCTGCCGACCGTGCTCGAGGCCGCCAAGACCATCGGGTTGTCTGAGGACCGCATCATCCTGCTCGGCGACGCGAGGGACCCGACGGGCAAGTTCAAGCACTTTACCGAGATACGCGGGAGCTCGGGACTGCTGGGGTTATCGCTGCGTCCGCGCATCGATCCTAAGAAGGACACCGCGTTCCTCGTGTACAGCTCCGGGACCACGGGGCTGCCGAAGGGCGTCATGCTCACGCATTACAACATCGCTTCCAACCTTGCGCAGCTGGGGTATTGCGATGTTTTCAACGGGATTCACCACTCGGGGGGGATCGACGGGAAGGGCGATAGGCAGATCGCGGTGCTGCCTTTCTTCCACGTATATGTAAGTGATATAAATAACACCTACCCTCTCTCTCTCTCTTTCTATATATATCACAAAGGAGAAACGTGCTTTAGATCAACACTCACACGCCAAAGGGCCTCACATGCATAGCCCTCCAGAGTATATTCATGGGCCTCCAAGTCGTCGTCCTGCCCAAATTCGACCTCGACAAATTCTGCCAGGTAATCCAAGACTTCGGCGTGACCTTCGTCGCCATCCCACCCCCCGTCGTCCTCGCCCTAGCCAAACACCCCTCCGTCTCGAAATACGACCTCTCCAGCATAAAATGGATGAACTCGGGCGCAGCCCCCCTCGGCCGCCAACTGGTCGAGCAGGTGTGGGCGCGCCTCGGCATCCCCGTCATGCAGGGCTACGGGCTGTCCGAGACGGCGCCCGCCGTCACCAAGGGCCAGATCGCCGACTGGAAGCGGTTCAACGGGTCCTGCGGGAAACTGCTGCCCAACGTCGAGGCCAAGATCGTCGACGTGGAGACGGGCGCCGAAAAGGGCCCCGGCGACGGCGAGGGCGAGCTCTGGTTCCGCGGCCCCAACGTGTTCCCCGGGTACTGGAATCGGCCGGAGCTGCAGAAGGATACGTTTAGCCAGGACGGCTTCTTCAAGACGGGGGACATCGGCTATGTCGACAAGAAGGGGAATTTTTATATTACGGATCGGTTGAAGGAGTTGATCAAGTATAGTAAGTCGTTACGTGTTTTCCTATTCCTATTGCCCTCCCTTGTCGTATATATATATATACCCCTATATATAGCCTCGGTCCAACTAACGCCCGCCCAGAGGGTTTCCAAGTCGCCCCCGCGGAGCTCGAGTCCGTGCTCCTCGGCCACGACGACATTGCCGACGCATGCGTCGTACCGGCGCACGACAAGGTGCGCGAGACCGAGGTCCCGCGCGCGTACATCGTCCTCCGTCCCAACATCGCGCGCGACGAGGCCAAGGCCGCAGAGCTTATCGCTTGGGTCGAAGGGCGCGTCGCGCAGCATAAGAGGCTGCGCGGCGGCGTGCGGTTCGTCGACGAGGTGCCGAAGAATGCTAGCGGGAAGCTGCTGCGGCGGGTGTTGAAGGAGGAGGCTCGGAAAGAGGACCAGAGGGCTGAGGGGCCCAAGTTATGATAGAGGGGGGGGGGGGGGGGGAAGAAGCTACTGTGGCGGTATATAAGGGGGCGATGGTTATTATTAGTAGAATAGAAAGAGAAGGTAGAAATATGTCAAGACAAGATCGGCATGTAAAGCCAGGCGTGGGACTGTCTCTCTCTCTCTCTCTCTATTGAGATTCTGGAATACCCCATGTATATAGCATTTATACAGATAATTATACAGTTGAGCCAGCTACAGGCCCCCCTTTCCCTTTGTCTATCCGTGAGCAACGTTATCTGTCGTCTAACCCAGTCTTGAATACACGCCGTCCCCGTGTTGTCTGGCGTAATCTGTCATATCTTGTGGCATATAGTTTCGTAATAGTCCCATTCGATACATCTTTACAATACCCTTCCCTTCCCTCCCCTCCCCCACCCCCTCAAACTCAACCCAACTTCTCACTCTCCTCCAACAGCCTCTCGACGCTAAACCCGCCATCCCCCCGTCCAAACTCCTCCAACAACCTCCTCTTCCCCCCATCCTTGTCCCCTCCCGTCCCCTCCCCGCCGTAAAACCGCTGCATGAGCATAACAAGCCACCTCGCATCCTGCACGCTGGCCCCCCGCCCGTCCACCACGCTCCCCACCATCAGCGCCCCCGCCAGCCCCTCGTCGACGTAGTGCGTGACGCTCGTGTGCGGCTGCGCCCACTCCCCGCGCGCCTTGTACTCGGCCAGCTGCGTGAACAGCACCGTCGCGGTGCGCGACGGCCCGTCGAACACCCACTGCAGGAAGTGCATCTCCGCGCCCACGTCCGCGCCCCGCGGCACCGGCAGCACGAAGCAGGGGTGGCGCCGCGCCGTCGCCTCCAGCCTCGCGTACGTCGCCCTCGGGATCACCGCGCACAGCGAGTGCGGCGACGACGCGTGCCGCAGCCGCCATACCGCCTCGAGTTCTTTCTCCGGGAGCGCCCGGGCTTTCGGCAGGTCGAGGATTTCGGAGAGCGGCTTTACGGCGGCGTTTGTGCGTCCCGTGCTAGCGGGTGGAACTTGCGGTTGTGACGACGACGGTGGCGGCGGCGGCGGTGGTGGTTTCTGAGTAATGCCATTCCCATTCCCATTCCCATTCCCATTCCCAGCCCGTGTCTGCGCCGGCACAGGCTCATCCGCAAGCAGCGCATCGAGCCCGGGAACCGAAACGCTATCTTTCTTCTTAAGCTCCTGGATGCGGTCCTTATACGCCTCTTTCAGCTCGCCGATATCGCGCAGGCCTTCCTCGCGGGCCTTGCGGTCGAGTTTGTCGCGGTACTTCTCGGTGACGCTGCGGGCGGCCTGGGTGGTGGCTACGAAGCGCACGTCGTGGACCTGGGCCCAGCGGCGCTGCTGGCCCGGCAGACGGAATGGTTGCCGCCGGCCGATGAGGTTGCGCAGGGCCGGAACGCGCGCCGTTGCCATTGGGGAAGACTAGGCAGGCAGAAAAGAAGAAAAGCAGAAAAGAAGAAAAAGGAGGAAAAGACCGTGGAAAAGATTACCACGCTTCACCGATTGGCGGGTTCCAAGGATGTGGTGGTTAAGTGTAGAATTAAAAACGAAGCTAAAATTGAACTTCGGACGTAGAAATCGCGGATAACCAAGGCATAGTACGTAGGTACATACAACAGTACCTAACACATACCTAATAACCTAGTCACCGCGCGGCAGTGGAGAACAAAAAAGAACTCCATTACGTCTGCTGCGAGAGTCGACCTATTAAAATATTAAAACATCTCTATTTCAATCATTCCCGGATTCTTTTCCCTCTAACTTTACCCCGGTAAGCAAACAAGACTACCTAACACATAATAACTAACACATGGAATGGATATAGGAATAGGAACACTTCATTGATATAACTATACAGCTCTTAAACTTCGCATGAACAAGATTGAATACATGACTAGGCTGATGGAAACAGTACATAGCTCAATCAAAGCCCTGCTCGAGGACAGGTATCCTACTCTTAACAGCTCTCGTCAGTTCTCCCGTCGACAGTCACGATGCGACATCGCTTCTAGGTCTAGTTCTCGGTCTAGGTCTAACTCTAGCCTTGTCTTCCTCCTTGACGTCTTTCTAACACGTCCCCTTCAACTCTATTAGATGGTATCTTATTAAATTTAAGCATTAACAGGCTTGAAGGTGATCTTCTCGGTATCCTGCTTGAAAGGCACGCCCAGCTCAAAGAGCTTAGTAACGGCGGCAGCGAAGTCCTTGAAGAAGAGGTCGTTGTCCTTGGCGTACTTCTCTACCCAAGGCTTCGTTGCCTTATCCTGAATAAGGGCGTAGTCTGCCGGCAGCATCATGAGCGACTTGGTCTTGACATCCTCGTACTGCTTGGGGCCATCCCACTTGCGCAGCTGCCACTTCTCCTCTAGTAGTAGGCGGAAATAGTCGTTGGTCAGGACGGTAGGAGAGAAGGTCCACGGTCCGTCGAATCCACTTCGGTCGGTGTGGCAACGACCGAGGGCGTGAGCACCGGCAAGGGCAACGATTTCTTGGTCGTTGAAACCCATGCGGTAGAAGATGTCACGGAGATGAGGGGTTCCCTTGGCGGCGTCAGGAAGACGTCCGTCAGGAGTGCAGGCTGCGGCATCTCCGTCTTGACGGCCGGGTCGGAAAGGGATAACGGGACCTTGCATCTCCTGGATGGCAGCAATACCGCCAATTATCCAGAGATCGGAGTAGGTGATCCAGGGGAACTTGGCTATAAACTGGGTGTTAGCCTGTGGCCTTAACCTTGGCGGATTGAAAAGAACAACACACCTTTCACAGGCTCAAGGAAGTCCCGAGCGTGCTTCAAGCCGGCGTTCGCGCCGTGGTCACCCTCAGGGGCGAATCGCATGGTAGCACCGTTGCTACCACCGGTACCCGTCTCCTTGTCGTATGTACCGCTGGCGTGCCACGCGAGACGAACGAGGACGGGGCCGTAGCTGCCATCGTCGTACTCGTCGTTCTCCTCGAGGCGGTTGGCGATCTCGTTATACACCTTCTGGTAGTCGTCCTTGGTGGGAGAGAACACCTTAATGCTACCCGAGGCGCTTGAGGTGTAGAAGTAGTAGCCGGCAGCACCCGCGACGGCGGCACCTGCCAGGTAGATCAAACTCGACGAGCCAGAGGTCTTGGGAGACTCCGACGAGTAAAATCGTCGGCCGTGCTGTCGGAATGCTTGCCGAGAAGACGTAGCAAATGTGTTTCTAGCGGAGGTGCGCAGGGCCGCGCGGGCCATCTGGCGGGACACAGTTGCGGCCGACATCTACAGGGTCGTGGGTTAGACACATAACGAAATATAATATTGGCGGGGTGATATGATGGATATCTTACTGTTGTCTTTCCTAGTGCACAACAGAGGAATGCAATTGGGTTCAACCGGGGGAAGGAAATTAAACGAAAAAAAAAAGCAAGAGAGAGCTTATGTATAACCTTCTAACGATGAAGGAGGGACGGTGAGGGAAGAGGCCAATTCTATGTAAAAGGCTTACAGGAAAAAGATATCCGAGGACGGCAAGTCTCCGTCGTTGGGAAAAGCAGCCCGAAATGTTTAGTAAGAAAGAATCTAAGCCGTCCTATTGGGTGGCGACCCCCCTAACATCGTTCTCTCTCGGCTTCTACTAGAGTGGGCCCCTAAACGGGTACCTATCTTTTTCTCTCACTCTTTCCTTTCGCGCTTGCCCGTGGTCTACATACGTAGTACGTACTAAAGTTCTTACCTGCGGAGGGAATTTTTTGTTGATGAGAGAGAGGGAAAGAGAGAGCAACCGATGGCAACATCTGATGCCAGCAACGACGTAGCGAATAGAACGCCTAGATTCACGGGGCCACGCATGCATGCAACCTCCGCGTGCGCATGTACCATTCTCTCTCAGGCCGTACCTAAGAAAATAAAAAATAGAAAAAGGATTCAACATTACATAGAACATACATACCTAACCTGTGCCCCCACGTGTATTGCATATATTCAATTAGTTTTAATAGTATGGAAGTACCAAAGGTCGATAATCGAACCATCACAACCAAATATTCCCATCCATTCTCCATTCTCCCCGAGTTGAACCAAACTGCTAGGTTAGGTAGGTTAGCATTACCTTACATGGGAAGTTTTGGTATATTAGGTACTTGTATTTGTCAGGAACGTCAAGCCTTACACCATTAAAACGCTACTGCAAAACCCACCCGCTACCTAAGACAGCTTAACCTATATGTACCTAGCATAGCACACGACTGGCGCGGAGTAGGTACGTGTAGTCTGCTCTGCCCGCACGGCGCCGCACCCGAGGGAGGTCCACTAGGTACATAGAGATATGTACCTAATGTATGTACTCGAGCAGAAAAAAAAAACGCCAGAATAATTGAAACATCCCGGCTGTCCGAGCTTGTCCGAGCATGGTAGGTACCTGGTAACTCATTAAACCCTTATCTCCGATTACCGGCTTGTAGTTTCGGCAGAACCGTCTCGTCTTCCGCAGAGCTGCAAAAACGCCAGCTCGTCGTCAGATACCAAATTCTCACGCATGACTCGATTGATCAAATCTGACTCAAGCTTAAACATTAGTTAATACAAAACAAATATGATATAATCATTTACAGCATCTACCTATAGGTATTTAGCAATTGAAACACTGGTGGATTAATTCTCATATCTTAATCAATCGTAAACACGCGTACGAACTATTGCCTGGTAACTTCCGAGTGCAGTGAGTTCCTCAAGTGAATATTTCTGGCAGTTATACACACCAGATTCTCCTTTGCTTATCATCCCACCCCGTCCGAGACTTCATATGCCCCTATTATAAATAAGCCCTTAACACAAGTGGAACTCAAGTATGATACAAATCCATCGCCCCCTCTACTCCCCGAGCATTATTACTCGCCGAGGTCGGAATATTGAACACGGACTCTCGAGGAGTTGAAGCTGAGTTTGCGCTCGACCTTACTGGAAAGGTGCAGTTCCTTGCGGGTTGGGCTCTGGTTCCATATAGTACTCGTAATATGCAGGGTATCTACTTTCAGCCTTTGCTTTGGTAGCATCGTCTAGAGGAGCTCTTGCGACGCCGTTCTCCTTAATTGCGGGTCTATCAAGCACTGACAAGGAAGTAGGACTTTACGCAGTGTTAGTATTTCAACGTAGGCACGACTAAAAAGAAATCACGTACCCGTAAATCTCACGGTCGATAGCAAGGAATTGTTTCATCGCATCCGCACCACCTCTCTCTTGGAGATAGGCAAGATAGACCAGGAACAAGTCCTTCTTAGCTGTCGATGATATTCGGCTCTTCGCCAACAACTCGTCAAAGATGTGCTTAACGCGCTCGGCATGTTGAGATTCGCTCTCTGCGTTTGTCGGTTGTTCCAGCTCGAACTCAAGCCACTGCTCCCAGAAATGGCGGCTATCAGCATACCACTGGACGTTCTTCAAGAAAACGGTTCTTGCTTCGTCGACGGATCCCTTAATCTTCCATAACAAGAAAGCCCATCGAGTAACGAGAACGGCCTTTGTGAAGATGTTCACGTGTGGCGCATCGATTTGGGCCTTGTAGACTTGGATAGCCGCATCGAGTCCGTTTTGTCGCCTCTCAAGGTTGGCCCAAGACACGATAGCCTCCACGCAGTCGGGCAGCTGCATTAATACGGCTTCGTGGATATCTCGGGCGACGCCGGTGCGACCGCAAGACTCCTCAAAGTAAGCGAACTGTAGGCGAATGCCTGGCCGGCTAATGGGCACAAAGAGGGTGGCTGCTCTCATATAGATATGACGGACTTCTTCCTCTTTTCCAGGTTGCGCCGACATCCACCTAGCATAGCGCAGCCAGAATTCGTCGTACAAGGCACATGTGACGATACAACGCTCGTAGAGGAATGTCGTCCTAGCAAAATCGCCCTCGCTCTCTTCGAAGTCGAGATACTTCCTCCAATTAACTAGCTGCGGGTTCTCTAGCTCAGTAACGTGGAAATACGGCCGTTTGATTTCCGACTCGTACGTCCATCGCTTATTCGTTTCATCCTGAGTTTTCTGGAAGACCTCGTAGAACATGGCATCGATCTTAGCACGGACGTCTCGCTCGACTTCCAGCTCAGCCCGCGGCATCACACCATACGCAGCGCCCTCGGCCTCCACCTCTGCTCGGAAACGCGCGAGCGTCTCGGGTGGTACTAACTCCTTAATAGGTCGGCTGTGGGCGAGTTGGCGGAAGCGCTCATAATATCGAGCATACTGGTGCATCGGGATATGGATAACTCGCTGCAAGATGGCAAAGATCTTATCCTGCGCTTCCTGTCTCTCTTCATACTCGATATACTTATCCCAGAAGGGATGTGCTAGAAAGTCAAGGCCGACAGAAGTTGCGGCTCGCTCGAAGAGCCTGGAGGTAAAGGTCAGCAAAGACGAGAACGACGAAGGGGGTTGGGGAGTGAGGGTGGGTAGGAGGGCAAATACAGAAGAGGAGGGATTTGTGCAAGCAACTATTCCGATTCCAAATCAATCCGTTTGAGGCGCAGGGTGTAGAGTGCGACGAGGATGTTCAAGGTCAAACCAATGACATTGTAGGGAACCACGGCCTGGCAGAATCTGTGAGAAAGTATCCAACATGTCATGGATTCTGTTGGCATCTCTCACCGTCAACGACTGAGCAGTCGTGTATTAAACGCTTCGATAGTGTTGGGGGTCGCTATGCAGCTTTTGCTCTGTTGGTGTTTGTTATGGGGTAGGAAACATCCGGTTTTACTTACTCTCTGACCAAATGGGGGGTGTGGGTGGTCTCCATCTTAAAGGAACAATAGGAAGCCCATAGATCAACACAGTTTGTTATACTAGCGCACCCACGTTCATAGATCTAACACAAGTTAGCTTACAGTAACTATCGACTTATCAGAAAGGGAAGTTAATACCATCTCAGCAGATTCGGGGCCAGATATGTTGAACTCGAGGTCGGCGTACTTTTTCCAGTACCCAAAAAGAAGCGGAAACTTGAGGAGGAATCGATCATAGACATCGCGAAGCGCGGCAAGCGCCTGAGGACTAGAATTCCGGTTAAGTCCTCCCTCTTGGGCCTCGCAAGCACGTATGAGCTTCTCCCAAGACTCGAAGTTATCGGTATCAGCTTCCTATCTTACAGTTAGTACGTCAAAAAGAGCCATTGGAATGCAGCAAGGCCGAAAATGGGTGAAAAACTGGATTACTTACCACCTCGAGAGCCAACTTTTTTATCTCGGCATTCTCCTCGTCAGAAGAGCCGAACTGATTAAAATCGGCCATCTTTGTAGAAAAATGGTATGCGACTCGTTTAGCAACGCGGTGAAGGTGATGAAAGGCAAGTAGAGAGATGTGAGTTTACGCGAGGCTAGGAATGAAAAGACGTGGTCCGAATTGAAATCGCGATGGTTTTAACAAGATAATTACAATGAAGGAATAATGCAGTTCTGAAGTTTCATGATCCCCAGCTGTGAAAGATGCGACGGGGAACGGGTTTGGATGACAATGAGGTTGTCGAGATCGACGAACAATGATGATCGCAAGAGAAAGTTCAAATAGTACTAAGGTATGTAGGAAGGAAAAGCACATGCAGCTAAATGAGGCTGGGAGCATGGGATATCTTGCATGTGGTCTGTGCGTTTACAATCACTAACTCTATGTATGTACATACCTAAGGTAACTAACAGGGAATGTGTGTGGGTCTTTATTTTCATACCTGTCTGTTGCTTTGTACGTTTCTTAACTTGCACTTGCCTTGGTCTGAAGAGCCTCGGTAGAAACAATGAGTTTGTGTGTGTTTCTTTCTCAAACCTTATGTACTCAGGTACCTAACATCGACTGGTACCTAACATGTATCTTTTTTAGGTAGTTATTGATCCTTGATCTTGTGTACCAGAAATTCCATGCTTAAATGCCATCCCGTAAGGTCTCTTCTCTAAACAGGATGGGTACGTACCCGTATTGCTTAACTCTAGCGCTAAAATAAAATACTGCAGAAATTTTATTCGACACATGCATTTCCTCCTCTCTACTGATACATATACGATTCTATTTTCAAGGCCAACCTCGTCACGCAGTTATTATCAATAGGGGTTTCAATATCATGAGCTCTTCGATAGTATCAGTGACTCGACATTCACAAGTGTGATATTCTCTACTAGAATAAGAGGCTCAATATCTCAAGACTTCCAACATTGGCCTTGTTCGTAGGTATATTTCCTTCATCTCTCCCAGCACTCTACTGGGAAACTCTCAAGCAACAAGCAGGCCGGTGATGATACTCCAATAAAACATATGATAGGAAGAGGGATATCCATCATGGAAATGATCTCAATTATTAAATCTGAGGCCTGCGCTGTTCTACCTATTTCATTCTCTGCCTCGTTAAGCATCCAACTAAGTAGCTTTATATATACCTCTGGACAGTGAATTATAATTCGAGCTTTAAGTTAGTCAATGGGGGGGGGGGGGTCCTTTACATACAATATAGTAGGTAGGGTAGTCGACTAAACATTAACAGCCAGAGTAATCTACATGTGCTCCTGTCCCAATCTGATAAACCAGGACTCGACTCTTAATACTAATGGGTATTCCTATTATTAAATTCAAATCCCGCTGTATCCCTATCCCTATCCCAAATCCGGCCATCCTCTCTAACGCCTCTACCGCTCACTTATATAGGGATAGCCAATGCTATTATAATCATTATATCCCGTAAAACCAGCGCTTTAAGAAAGAACGCTTGGTATATCCTTAAAATAAACATCGAATCTACTCTTTCCCGTGGCACCACTAACCCTTCTGTATAACCTCTAATCGGACTAAATTCTCGGCGCATCATTCGTGTTTTCGATCGCAATATGGGCACTTGCGCGGTCCAGCAGGCGGGCAGCTCTTCGAAGACGAGCTGCAGATTCATCAATAGTTAGCTCAGGCCTTCTACGCTCATCATCACTCAATCCCGCCAGGGTCTCAACTGACCCTGCGGACGAGGCATCCAGCCTGTACTGGGCGTATATTTCCGTGGCGCGGGGGCGGTTATCTCGAACGCCAACGTTATCGCTCGGCGGCGAGGACTTCTTTGTTTTAAGAGACCTTAAACTGCGCTTGACCTTGACCTTCAATGTTCTTGAGGTGGCTACGGCCTTCAGCCCTAAACCTTTGAGTTTTATAAACGGGCTTAAGAATTGTCCTTTGATGCCCGGATTCTTCAGTATTTCGGCGGTTTTCTGCTCACGGAACAATATATACTGTTCCAGCTTGAGCAAGCTGGCTGAAGACCGCGGGCTTCCCTTGCGTACGAGACCCGTCTCCCCATGCTCCCTAAGCTTCTTTAACGATATGTCTTGATCGACCAGCAACTGACAAACAGGACATGTTGGTTTGTCCGAAAGCATTGGCTCTGTAGTGTCCATTGGCGAAAACGTGACAGGACATGTAGAATTAGACTGATGCGATGATGGTGGTCTGCTATCTATACCCACGGCTGTAATCGATGTAGATCCTGACACCTCATTTGCGCCTTTAGATGAACCTAAGCTGAGTCTAGAGCACGTGCAATAATTCTGATTCGACTTGACTTCGGTTCTCCAGGTCTCGATCATCCGTATTTTTCTCTCCGGTAACCGCTTGTATGAGCCCGACATCTTGTCTTTATTAATTGCGTTTGAAGACCCGTACAATTCGAAGCTGGTATATCCTTAGAAATGCCCCGAACTTGCTCTCGAGCTTCTGGATACCTGTTATATTATGGTAGTACATTGAGTTTGATCGTTCGGCATGGTAAAACTCAGACCGAAACCGTTTCTCCCACCTAAGTCATAAAATAAACATGATTGGGCAATCCATTGAAGCCTCGACGGTTGTTCCAAGCAACCCGAGAGTTGTTAATGTAAAGCGTGACTCGGACGCGGCATCCCTAACTTAAAGCTTTATCTTATCTTAGCATGACGTAGAATTCAACAGGGTTTAATTACTCGGTGTACAACTGCAGCTAACTGAGACCTTCTAATTACACTATAGTTACACTTATACAACTTATACTAATAACTAGCAACATATTCTCATATTCACTACACACTACACACTATGTTTAGCATATCAACAATGTCACAATAATATCAAACCGTCTTGCAAATAAAGCAAAACTTTTGTCGAGTCTCACAATCGAGACCCGCATATACTCGTCTAGCTTTAACACTTTAACGCCGTAAACACCATGCTATATTAAAATTTGACAACCCAGTACCCATCCAAATGCGACATAAAATAACTAGTTCGGTTTTAGCGTCTCCCACCCGTTCACATCAACCCCATCGTCACCGTCCAGGAGGTCGACGGTAGATTTTCTCGCCTCTGGCCGGGCCGGTTGTATGTGCTGTAGTTGTGGTTGCGGGCGAGCCGGCAAGTTTGGTTTGTGCTCTATGTTTCCCAGTCCAGGCAGAGATACTCGACTTGATGTACCAACAGGATATTCGTTAGAAGGAATGGTTTCTAGATGAAGTGGCATAGTCATCGTCTTGTGCATTCCGCCCGTTAAGGCTCCGGATCTACTGGCTTCGAGTTTAGAAGTCAGGTTGGAAACGGCGTTGGAAGTTTTACGTGGGATGGATGGCTTCGGTATTTGCTGGTCTATGAGCGAACTAACGCTACCAGTTTCGGAAACTGCCGGACTGGTCGTTGGCGAAGTAGACATGAGATGAACTGGTTTCCTTGCTATAGGTGGGGGTGCTTTAGACTTATTCGACGTCTGAGACGAGAATGCTACTGCCTGTAATGGCTGTTGTAAACTATTAGATTTCGCTTCTCGTAATACTGATTGCGCGCCCAACGGGGTAAGCGTCTGAGAGGGTTGCATAATCCCCGTGGAGGTCTGTCTTCTGGGCGGAGGCGGCGGCGGCGGAGGCTCGTTCCTCTGTATGGGTGTCTGCTCGTCAAGCAAGTTGACCTGTCCGAATTTGACGGGCAATGTTGCTGGATCAAACGGCGGGGGTAGCTTTCTGGGTGAGGAGTTGGATGCGGCGGATGATGATAGAAGGGTGGAGTGGTTTATATGCTCATATGGTGAGCTGGAGATGCTGGAAAATGACGAGAGCCTTGAATTGGATCTTGGGATCGCAACCCAGTCGGGTTCCTCGGTTTGAGAAAACGGGTTTGAGGGACGGTTAGGATTTAATATCATGGTTGAATTATCGCGGTTCCCGTTATTAGGCTTAGGTGGGCCAACTGTAGACTGTGCCCTCTTGCCGTTTTCGAGCCACCATCTCTGTCGGTCTGAGCTCGCCGGAGGCAAACCTGGCTCGATAGGATCATATCCAATTAGATCTTCGTCGTCTTCGGAGTCCTCGCTTATTAAACTCGACGCCGTGTGGCCGACTTCGGCTTTGCGACGCTCATACAGCTCCTGGCTGATCTGTTCTCTAAGTGCCTCGTTTATGATGTTTACTGTGCATTGGAAGGTAGCAAATACCGGGCGGTGGTCCGAGAAACGCAAGGGGGCACAGTTATATGACAGTTGCCTTATATTCGTGCCCTTGCGTAAGATGCGGTCTGTCCACGCCGGAATACGAGCTTTTTCACTATCCCAATATTAGTCTTATTCGTAGAACGTTTACTACAGAGACTTACGAGGTATCATATCTGTCGGTATCGACATCGAATTTGTAAGTTGGCATGAATGTGATTCTAGCCTCTGAGTAATATGGAAAAGAAAGGCCGGCAACCATTTGAAGGTTTAACTGGAGCATATTAGCAACCGTCTATTCGTTTGGTGTTGTCTTATAGTCGTACCTGGTCATTTTCATAGAGCCTCTCCAGATCATTTTTCTGAATCAAATCCATGACCTTTTCATGCGATAGTCCAATACGGTAATTAAAATCACCAAGCCAGACGACCGTGTCTGCAGATAAATTAGTACAAAACGGAGTACTATGCGTACTGATCCACTTACCATGATCGTCAATACCCCTGTTTCTTTGAAATCGTAGTCCATGATGAATAGTAGTGTAATCCTTATTTCTCTCGTCATAATTGGCGAACCCAGCAGCAAGATGAGCTGTCACGAAACATAGTTGAGTGTTCGCATATTCCATCCTAATGGCAACCGCGCCTTTATTTCCTGCTATGCCAGACATGCCAGTTTTCTTGACACTTCCTTCAACGTTCTTTATTTTAGGCAGTGATGATGCTTTTACGAAGATGCATAAGGCGGCTCCAACCAGTTGTCCACTACGAAGTAGGACATATCTTTCGCCTCCTAACCGTTTGGCACGGTTGTTTAGGGTCCTTTTGATAGCTCGCTCCCATAGCTGCTTTCTACGAGGATCGCTATTCATGATTTGTTGCGCGCTCAACTCAACGATCTCTTGAAATCCAACGGCCATTATCTCAGGTTGCACTGAACCGAGTTCCTGAGGGCAAAGCCAAGGGGACAAATCCTCGTCAATACCATTAGTACGGCCGTTTAAATTAAATGTCCCAACCCACCTATAGAAAGTTAGTTTTGTTAAACTGCCATGCAGCTAGGACGCCCCAAGACTCACATCGTAATATTTTCCGTCGATGAATATTCGGCACTACGCTTACCGAGTTCGCCAGATATAAAGTCACTAATAGGGTCGAAGAGATGAACAGGAGTCTGACCAACTAGCCGGCCCAAGAGCATATCAATCGTATTCTGCCTTGCCTTATCGGCAAAGTTGTTAATATAGAGCCTCGTTGCGCTTTTCCGAACATCCGCAAATGCACCAGCTAGAGACATCTTGCCATGCCTCGTGAAAGAAGATTTGAGAGCTCCTGTTCCGGCATATATCCTGGAGAGAGCATCGCCGTTGTCAGCCCAGAGAGTAGAATGCCGTACCCAGAAATCCGACGCAGCATATTCCCCACGATGATTTAAGAAGGCTTCAACAGCCATTTGTGAGATTATCGTCTGGATTAGATTAGTCCTGTCTAAACAGTCCAGGCAATTTGTCCGGAAGACTCCTTCCTGTTGAAGCACAACTACCATTCTTTGATGGCCCGTCGGTTCATTCGTATCAGCCATATCATCCGTGAGCTCAGCAAGATAATAGGCGAATCCGTCAGCTGAATGTTCAATATATCGGCGGATTTCCCGAGCAGCTTCGTATCCTGCAGCTTTAGTTTCCATGTGGAAATCGTAGTCGGTCTCTCGCAGTAGAGCATGGTCAGCAGACTGCTTTTCACCAGCATGGCTAAGTGAACAATGCTCTAAGCCATAGTGAAATAGATGCGTCAGCTCGGCTTCGCCCGGCTTCGTTGCGCTGAGCAGATTAACGATATGTACAGCACCATAAGACTGCTCCAGATCTTCAAAATGTTTATCGAAGGCTGGCTGTGTCCCGTCGGCTGAACGGGTGACGGTTATCTTCTGCTGACCAGGAATGAGCCCTGGAGTCTGCTCCCAGAACACTGGTACCGAGCCACGGACTTGTGCATACGAAAAGAGAACGCCAGATGGGCTCCAAAAAATAGTTTCCGTCTCCACAAAGTTGGCCACGTGCCCGTCATCATCGATACCTCGACTGTTGAAGCGAGTGCCAGCTCGTTTACATGATAGGCGGGAAATAACAGTGAGAAAGGAAGGAAGACCGGACCTGCCATCCCGCAAAGGCGCTGCGTTTTGGGGGATTGTCATGGTTAAACAGAATCCTCGTATAGCAGAGGTTAAAATCCTAGAAGCATCGAGAGCCTCACGCTCGTGCGCTAGGAGCCGAGATCTAAACTGGACTAGAGGACCAATCATGAAATAGTTCCATAAGAAGGAATCATCAAAATTGTCAATATCAAACGTGTCCGAGTCTATGGGCCTATCTTGAAGCCTGTTGGTCAGATCAAAGTCTGTACTGTAGTAAAAACTGCCATTGCTTAACAGCTTCTGCAGCTCCTGATATGGGTATTCTATTTCGCCTTCCCTCCGACCGAGGTTCTGGCCATACGGCGACATGGACTCGGATATTTCGTCCTCGTACGTATTTAGGGATACAATATTATCGTACTCGGCGCTATTGAGGCAGAAGAAGTCGACACTCGCAATCTTCTCGACCGTCTCCCCGGGACGCACCGTCGCCACGCGTAGCGCTTGCGTGATTACACATAGGAACACGTCCTGGTTTATAGATATGAGACCTAGGGTTCCGTATATGGGCCGGGGAGTGAGAGGTCTGAAGTCGCTAAGCAGCTGCTTAGAGACGGGGGAGAATTCGACCATGCATTTAGACACGGGGCCGTCCCCGGCAGCCCGGGGTCGTGCTGACGAGACGGATGCAAGCGAGCCATTAGCTATTGCCTCGCTCGTGCTAGGGCTATATCGGAAGATCAGGGCATGAGTCGGCGTCCTAATGGCGATGGCTCGGTGAGGATATTCGCGGATGAGCAGCTGGCTGGACTTCTCAGCCGACGGGGCTGCAGTGAGAGTTCGAGTTACGGATGGATACTGATCCATGCTGAACTAGCAGGACAGCAGGATAGCAGGAATATGATAGCAGCTGTTTTGAAAAGTAGCACATGCTACCTGGATAAATTTGAGAGTCAAGTAGTTGAATGAAAAATGTACGGAGGCGGCATCCACATGTTTGAGGTGCATAGGCTGGTTTGAAAGTTACTGATGAAAGTTGGCCCTGTGACGTTTGGCCTTGGCGTTTCCTTGGATCAGCCCTGCGAATTGATGGATTAAATTGGTTAAATTCTATTGTGGGGAGAGGATACATACCTAGGTACTTATCCCTTCCACTTATCTTCCTACGAAAAAGAGGATCGGTCTCGGGTGGGGGTCCCGTGTATCTATGAGGCTGAGACTACCTAGGTACTTTACACTTCACGTGAGATAAGCCAGTACGCCTCATTGATCTACATAGGTACTGATGTATGGACATACTTGAACTAAATGATCTTATGTACCTAAGGTATATATGTAACAGGCGGAGTGGAGCAACCGAGGGAAGAGCGGTCCTTGTGACAAAGAAATATAAATACCAAATAGCTTATCAAAATAAAGACGGGAACTTGGGCTGTGTTGTTACCTATCATGAATATTTCAATAGCTTTAGCAGGACACCTCATTACTACGATTATACTACAGCGTCACGTACCGACTAGGATAAGAGGGATGGATCATTAAGGGTATTACGAGCACGTCAGGTCTGGTCTAAGCATAGAAAGGCCTATAAAGTCAAGGTTAAGTTTTGCTTTTTTAATTTCTGATATCGGGGCATACGCATTGCGTAGATGCGGATTGGGGGCGATTGACGAATGCAGTAAACACACGCATCAAAGCAGAAGTCCAGCCTGATTAAGTATCGCAGTCTGTTCGAGCCGAACCGTCGAAAAGCTAGGCTAAGGCTTTCTCTCTCCGGCCGGTGAATCTTAAGGCATGGATCATTTTGCAATTCCACCCGAAAGCAGACCCGTAAACTACCTAATCTTCCCGTGATACGTAAAGGACCGGTGTACAAGGTCAACTCTAGGGGATGTTGCAATGGGTGCTGGATCAAAGGAAAACGTGAGATATCTCATCTCAAAAAACCACAAAAAACAAACAGGGGAAACGTGTATGAAACCGTCCACACGACCACCAACGAGCCCTCGCCGCCCCTATACAGGTAGAGGTAGTTGAAATACAGCCATAGTTGTGGAAAATGTTATCGCATTGCCAAGTAGAGGGCCTACTTTAAAAGCAGCCTTTTACCGACGTATCCTCGAGTGAAAGCCGACACTCTGTTCAAATTTCACTCCCGCGTCCAAAACAGACACCTAACATCCTTCCCAACCGATGCTACAAATCTTTGCCAGTATGGGTATCAACAGAACCCTGGCCCTTCAGGAAGTATTACAGAATATGCATGTTCAGTTGAGGCAAGGAGGTTATCCATGAAAGGTAGTCTAAGACTCGGTGGGGGCGGGGGCGTCCTCCTTAGGCTTCTCAGCTTCCTCAGCGGGCTTGTCCTCCTTAGCAGCCTCTGTGGCGGCGGCACCCTCGCCCTCGGCGCTCTCTGATGAGGTCCATAGGGTTAGGTTGTCACGGAGCAGCTGCATGATGAGAGTGCTATCGCGGTAAGATTCCTCAGACAACGAATCAAGCTCAGCGATGGCATCGTCGAAGGCCTGCTTAGCGAGATGGCAAGCTCGGTCAGGCGAGTTGAGGATCTCATAGTAGAATACGGAGAAATTGAGGGCAAGACCGAGACGGATAGGATGCGTCGGGGTGAGCTCAGTCTGTGCGACATCGGTGGCGCTCTAGAAAGGAGAAATGTGAGATTAGAACACTTATGTAATTTAGATTCATGATATAGACTAACCTTGTAGGCCTCGTGGGCGGCAGTGGCGGCGACCTTTCGCTTCTCGCCAGACGCGAACTCGGCCAAGTAGCGGTGATAATCACCCTTCCTATGTGGGGTAACCCAAACGTCAGTATATGGCCATTTTAAGACTGCATGGCGATGAAAAAAGGTAACTAACATCTTGTGATAAAAGACCTTGGACTCGCCGGTGGCAGCGTTGGGGATCAAGCTCTCATCTAGGACGTCCAAAACATCTTGGCAGACCTTCTCGAGCTCGGTCTCGATCTTGTTTCGGTAGTCGCGAATAGTAGAGACGTGCTTGTCAGAGCCCTTGGACTCTTCCTTCTGCTCGATCGACGAGATGATTCTCCAAGAGGCACGTCGGGTACCGACCACGTTCTTGTAGGCAACAGACAGAAGGTTGCGCTCGTCAACAGAGAGCTCTCCACCAAGCTTAGCAACCTCCTTCATATAGGTGACCATCTCATCATAACGCTCGGCCTGCTCGCAGAGGCGGGCTAGGAAAGTCTTGCTGTTACAAAATGCTAGTTAGTGGATTTGCGTTCCCCCCTCGGTACATAAAAAGGCGGCATCAATCATGGACTAGATACGGCGGGGGTATGCGGTACGAACCTTTCACGCTGCAAGGTAGAAAGCAATGTTAGCATGACCATTATCCATAGAATGCTAGAGTAGGGATATAACTAGAGGCTACGCAGCGGTGCGCGGGCGCGGCGGAGGCGAATAGCAGCGTCGCCCGAAACAAGGCAGACTTGGGGAATGGAAAGGGGAGTCGGAGTATCGAAAACTTACCTCAGTAGTCATCTTGGACGGGTTGAGAAGAGGATTCTGGGCCTAGAGGCGATAGAAAAGGGAGATGTAGGAATGGAAATTGGGGATGAACTGTTTGGGTGCAGGATTGAGGAAGTTGGTGAACAGGGAAAGACAGGATTGTTTACAGGTACGTCAAAGTTGAAGGGTGTTGAAAATCGACGAGGTTTAAGGTGCGGGAGGAGAAATCAGTATATGCGGCCAGGGCTGCCAGGTCCAAAATTGCGCCTGAGTCTTCAACTTTGGCACCTGGCTTGTGCGGGAAAGAAAGAGTACATGGGTACATTAGGTACGTTCCACCCCATTCTAGCGTCTGGTCCAGTAAAGTAAGGTTGTGCTACCGTACACCTTTCCCTCTTTTCCAGGGCTTGCTTGCCCCTCATTGCCGTCTTCGGCCTGGAATCTTCTCTCGATATCTTACGCCTTATCAAGTATATCAGTACCTACTTAGGTAAGTATTTATGTAGTACTTGACATTATCCCTACATGTACGAAGTACGCAATACGTCAATAATAAATCAATCAATTAATCAATCAATCAATCAATCAATAAACAATAATATCAAGACCGCGAATGCCTAATCACAAACGTTGGAAACATCAGGGAACCAATCCGCTAACTTGTATTATCGCAAATTAGTATCGACGTTAGCAGAACCCTTAACTCTATTTTTCGCTTTCTCCCAGTTCGGATTACACGATAGGCAGCCTTCCCTTCCCCACTATCGTCCGCCTCAACCTTAGAATGAAATAACTGGTCCACTGTGCACTAGAAAGGTGCTCAATAAACATGAAGGGAGTTTTGACCTGGGCCTTCAATGACAACAACCTATGGAAATTATTTATTAAAAGGTAGAGACAGAGACAGAGGGAGAGAGAGAGAGAGACGCGACGAAATCATCCAATCCTTGATTCACCAAGATATCAGTCAACATCGCATGAGATCCTACCAATGATTCAGACGCTGACTCGCATGTCCGCTGCAGAATTCTTGCGCGAGTCGGCAGCGGAATGAGACGAGAAACAAGAACGGAAATGCTGAATATCACAATCAGTCAGCAGCAAAGCCACCCCCAAACCATAAGTATATGAGTATACATACCTACCTATTGCTCGTATCCCCGTTTTCTTTACATACATACAGCTCGTCATTAATCCGTATATCATATTATTCGTATGTACGAGATGTCCTAGATGAGTATTCCATCCTAAAGGTATCATACAGGAAGGTATCATATTGTACAGGTACCGACGCGCGCCTCTACAATCCAAAACACCCCACTACTCGGGGGGGGGGGGGGGGGGGGGCGCCGCGGGGGGCGCGGCGGGCGGG